TGGACTGAAATGGAAATGCTATTACTCATTTCAATGGGATCAGGATCAGACCCTAAGTATTAGGTTTTAGAGCAGTGGTCACCAACCAGTAGATTGAGATCTACCAGTAGATCTTGGAGCCTCTGCCAAGTGATCCTGACTGGTTTGGCTGGGAAGCTATCAATCTCTCTAGGTACAGGAGTGGAGGGAGGAAAGACACCCTTACTTCAGTGCCCCCCTTCTCCCTCCACCATCCTGCACTGCAAACAGGAAACTCCTGGGGCCCATGTGGCCGCTCCAAGCCAAAGGGAAGGAGCGGCATGACAGTGGGTGGAGTGGCAACTGAAGTGCCAGTGCTTGATAGCCTCGTGGTCAAACCAGTCAGGATCACTTGTCAGGGGCTCCAATATCTACTGGTAGATCCCAATCTACTGGTTGGTGACCATTGCCATATAACAACCTTCTCTTTTCTTATCCTGGATTCTTAGCTGAAAATAAGGTGGGACGTTTTCTAATTGTCATAAGATATTTTCATAAAGTAATAAAATAGCAGCAAAACTTGCTGAGCAAAAAAAAAAAAAGAAAGAAAAGAACTGACTGGGGCAGCAAAACTTAATGGGGGAGGGGGAGCCTCGTAACTAAGTACGCTTTTCCTTTCAAGTAGGAATAAGGGATCTTCCGGAAAAGGGCTTATTTTCCGCAAGATCCCGTCTAGACTGGAGCTTTTCTCCGGCAAAACCCCGAGCCGGAAAAAAGCGGCAGCCATATTCATGCAAATGCCGTGGGGGATATTTAAATCCCCCGCGGCATTTGCAATTCCGAAGTGTCTCATTAGCATCCCTTTTACGGAAAAGGGTGCCAGTGTAGACACAGCCCAGTAGATTAGTAAGGTATGATTTCCCTTTACAGATACCATATTGACTTTTCCCCAGCAAATTATGTTCATATGTGTGTATGACAATTTAATTCTTTACTATAGTCACAACTAATTTGCCCTGTACTGATGTTATGTTGTTAATAAGGTCCCAGACGTAGCTTCATCGAATATCTCTAGACCAATTTGTGCTGGAACTACTAACCCTTTATTTGTAATGACTTGTCGTGTGAACTGTGAAGTTAGAATTTCATTGCTAAACTCTCATCCTATAAGTATCAAATTAAATGTATTATCCAGCTCCATTACAGTCATTAGATGAACATGCATTGTCTTTATTAAGAGTTGGATTGGGCACTATAAAAAACCATTTTTTTAAAATTTGAGGAATCCAAATTAATGCACAGGTATTTCTCCATTATATTTTGGGATTATAGTATAAATTAAATTGAAAATTAAAACATACTCAGAGGGACAAGATGAAACAAATCAAATACCCGCAGACTGGTATTAATTGGACTTTTAAAATTAGCAGTAAATTGAAAAATTCTAGAAATGTGGAGTAATGTCTCTGGTAGAAATCACTGAAATGATTTGTCGTCTTTAATGTTATTAAGATCAGGTTGCTGCCCTTCTTGGCATTGTTTTCTGGAAGACATTGAAAGAGCCAGTGGGATGCGTGAGCTGGCAGAAACAAGTTCATCCTCCTGCCTCCCATTATCTGTGTCACTTCTAGGGGCCCTAGGAGGTCCCAACCAGACAAAGCCATCAAGAGAGAAGTGTAATGACATCAGCACCTCTTTCAGCTCTGGATAGCCCCTGAACAACATCTACTACTGTTCTGCGTTTGTTCCTGTGTCATTTCCTTATTTCTCCTCTGTTGCATCTTTCTCTTTTTGCCTCCTGGATAAAAAGAGCCTGCCTTACTTGGACGAAGAAAACTCTCCCTTTTGGATTACACTGCAGTAAACCTTTGCCCAGAAAGGCCAAATGAAAGCAAAGCCTTAGACAACCTGACAATGGTAAAAATTTGCCAGGTTTAGGAGTGTCTGATAAGACCATAAACTGTGTCTGTAATTTCCTACAGTTGCAAATGAAAGGGATTGTCAGAGACAAAGGCTGCATTTTCTATCTTTAGTATTCTTTTGTCTCCCCTTTTGTGTGAGTTTATCTTGTTTTCTTTTAAAGGAAACAGGATTTGACTTCAATGACCACAGCATACAACCAATTAAATTAACTTTTTTTTTCAAAAAGGAACAGTTAAAACCAGCATTCATTCAGTGTGAAAAGACTATCAATCAGATGTTTTCTCCTATTTAAGAAAACAAACAAACACACAAAACCTCCACACAGCTAATACGGTATAAGAAATTGTTCAAATTAAAAGCTTATTTATTTTTTTCAGTTTCAAATGCTTTAACTGTTCTCATTCCTTTTCTATGTGTTTAATAAAAAGTTTTGAAGATTAGTAAACAAGTGTTTTTTAAAATATTTTATCCTTTGGTGGGCCAAAGACACCCTCTTAACACAAAAGAGTTAAATTTATAAGTCTAGAAAAGAGATCATTTGAGGGGCACGGGATCTTTGTCTTGAAATATTTTCAAAATAAAATTACTAAAGAAAGAATAGAACTGTCCACTAGCTCAGGGAATGTCAGCACAATGAAAAAAAGGTCTTAGAGAAGAGCTCTCGGGGAATGTTAGAACAAGGAGAAGTAAAGGAGAGGAATATTTAGGCTAGACCTTACAATGAACTTTTTTAGCAAGAACAATTGACCAGTAGAAAAGCTGTGCTTAAGATGCCATTACTGCAGCTGTCCAAGGACAGAAGTGATAAGACATCAGTGGAAATGATGTTAAAATCCCAGTGAAATTCAGAGGGTTATATTAGGTCATCAAATGGTCATTTTTGGATCTTCTGCTATACAATTCTATGAAAGGGGTTGCTTTTCAAACATTATTTCTTTCAACTGGTGTATTAATACATGAGTTAAAAATAAAGTATCACAGTTTTGGAACTAACATAATAATCTTAGTCTACAAATCGGAGATGTATTTTGACAGACAATAGATCCCATTTCACATGTAAAGAAACTAGACTGGGAATTATTATTCTTATTATTCTTCCCTCCCACCCCCGCCCTGAACTCCTATTTGATGTTTAGGATAGATTGTTAGAACTATGAATGCATTCAGTGTTCCTCATTTTGATTGTTATGAGTGTGCAGAAAAATTACATTGTAATCATGTTATCTTCCCATACCTCACATGTCCCCTTTCCTGAGTTTTGGTCCAGAAATTCCTAATTTTCCATTGCTCCAAATGGTAAGCATAGCAATGAATAAAAATTAAATGTACTAACTTGAAAGTTTTGCTTTTCTTTCCTTTCTGTTTAATAAAAATGCTTTGCATTTGTATAGTGCTTTCCATTAATGGCTTTTAGAGATCTTGGCAGTGTAGGTCAGTTTTCTTATCCTCATTTTATATTTGGGGAAACAAAGGCACTGAAAAGTTCAGTGAATTGCCAGGGTCAGAAGCCAAGTCAGGAACTGAACACAGATCTCTCAGATCCAAGTTTCCTGCACTAGCCAATAGATAACATCATCTCCCTTCTATTTCTTCTGTCTCCAAATATCATTTTATAACATAACCATTCTATTTTTCTTTCTTCCCTTTCATCTTTTTTCAATTTGCCTAGTTTCACTTCCTCCTAATCTGCCTTCCTTTTAGCCTTGTTTCCCTCTCTATCTAACTTTCTCTCCACACACAAGGAGCAATGGGAACGAGGATCTTCAGGGCTTGATTTTGCTTTTCTGTCCTGGCTTCTTTTGAGCTCAACAGCCCCATACTTTGCCCTTGTGGTGGGGTCTGAATGGAATATTGCCTCCGCGCTGTACAGCTGGCATCCATTCAGTATAAGAGCAGTTAACAGTTGTGAGGTAGCCTAGGGCCCACAGCTACATTGACAGCCCCAAAAAAGAAGGACTGCAGCAGAGCTTAGTGCTGCTTGTGTCAGTCACCCAGCTCTGTGAAATTACTGAAATGTGAGTGTGTGGCATAGAACAGCAGGTCTCCTAGGGTATGTCTACACTACCCCGTTAGTTCGAACTAGCGGGGTAATGTAGGCATACCGCAATTGCAAATGAAGCCCGGGAAATTCAAATCCCGGGCTTCATTTGCAAGTGTAGTATGCCTACATTACCCTCCTAGTTCGAACTAGGAGGGTAATGTAGGCATACTACACTTGCAAATGAAGCCCGGGAAATTCAAATCCCGGGCTTCATTTGCAAGTGTAGTATGCCTACATTACCCTCCTAGTTCGAACTAGGAGGGTAATGTAGGCATACTACACTTGCAAATGAAGCCCGGGAAATTCAAATCCCGGGCTTCATTTGCAAGTGTAGTATGCCTACATTACCCTCCTAGTTCGAACTAGGAGGGTAGTGTAGACATACCCCTACTGTGTGTCAGGACCCCAAAGTGGGTCAGGGCCCAGTTTTAATGGGGTCATCAGAGCTGGCAATAGATTGACAGGGACCTGGGGCTGAAGCCCGAGCCTCATTGCTCAGGGGCAAAGCCAGAACCCCAGCACCTGAGGTGACTTCCATCCTGTGTGGTTGGGCTCATATTATAGGCCCCCTGCCGAGATATGAAGGTCTTGGACTTTGGCACTGTCCCCATTGCCTGAGGAGGCAAGGTTCCATTAAGCTCAGGCTTCGGTCCCCTGACCCACTCCTGGGGACATGTAATAATTTTTCTGTCAGAAGGCAGACATGCTGCAGTGAACCCCTTGCCATAGAGGAAAACCTCATTCCATGCGAAGGTCATTTAAAAATGGCTTTAAAGTGAGAAATTATTAATATTTATTTTAGAAAGAAAGAAAGAAAGAAAGAAAGAAAGAATCAGATTTTGTTTTTTCAGTATTGTAATATCCCAGATTTGTCTATATCAGCTTTATCACTTGGATGTATGAACAGCTGATTTGTTTACACTGAGGTAAATGGACAGTTTACTCATATGTCTTGTCTGTGACTTTCTTCAGGAGTGTCCCAGTGGGATTGTTAATGAAGAGACCTTCAAAGAGATTTATTCTCAGTTCTTTCCACAGGGAGGTGAGTACTCTGCACACATAATTAGTATCGCTAGCATTTACAGAGAACTGTGCTTGTGAATTTCTAAATTGGATTAATCATCCTATTGTTCATCTTAATAAACTGGTGGTATAAAGTTCTATAGAGAATTGTAAGTCTCTTAATGGATAGAAGTTTTCACAGACATGTGTGAATGTAATCGACAATAGGAGGTCTTTACAAGATGGCAGTATCTACTTGGAATACACAGTCCAAGTATCTTTTTGAAAATTAGGATTCCCTCAGTAGCTCATCTCTTTGTAAGTTTTAATGCAGATATGCCTTTTCTACTCTTCTCTCCCTCGCCCGCACCCCACCAGATCTTATGGACTGGGAATTTATGTAGAAGTTAGTTAAATGTGTGGGGCTAATTCGAATCTAGTGTATGTGGATGAAATTTGGAATACACAGTCCAAGTATCTTTTTGAAAATTAGGATTCCCTCAGTAGCTCATCTCTTTGTAAGTTTTAATGCAGATATGCCTTTTCTACTCTTCTCTCCCTCGCCCGCACCCCACCAGATCTTATGGACTGGGAATTTATGTAGAAGTTAGTTAAATGTGTGGGGCTAATTCGAATCTAGTGTATGTGGATGAAAT